AAAATTACATGAAACTAACCCAAACATTCATTACTACCTTACTAAATTGAACAAAAAACCTTCATTTTTTTCCTCAAATATATAATTCTAATTTTTCTACAAATACTCAAAGATTGAACTCTTTTAATATTCTTCGAACTTCAAACTTTCCAAACCAATAAAAACATATGAAGTTCCAATCAAACTTAAATCATAATTAAAAAAAAAAGCTTATTAATTTTACCACCTCGGTTTCAAAATGAGAACTCTATGTTCGAAACTAGAAGGTTGCCTAGCCATAAAGAATATAATCAAAAGAGGTCGAAGGGACAATATTATTACCGTGATGAAAAGTACTTCCTTGGGCACAAATGTAAGGGTTGGCATATGTTTATGTTAAAAGTAGAGGAGAAGGGAATATGAGAACACACAGGGGATTTAACTAAGGAAGAAAATGGTGGAGAATATTTTGAGAATATTGAGAATTTAGGGGGGACCTTTACCAAATTTCCATATGTCCAGGTGTTTGGTGAAGAATAATATCGAACCATGAAGGTTGTGGAAAAATTCAAAAAGATAAGATGACAATTTCGATTGATATGAGAAGTACTCATAACTCTGTGGACTTGGAATTGGCAAAGAAATATTGATGTGAATTGGCTAAAATTCATCCTATGGCTATTAAGATGGCATATGAGAGGGAAATATTGTGTGAATATATGTGTAAACAATATGAAAGGAAAATGCAAAGAAAAAAATTTGTTACGACAGTATATATAATTCATATGGGATTATATGACATGATATTAGGTATAACACGGCTATATGATTTAGGAGACATTACCTAAACCTTTAAGGCAATATGGATGAAATTTGTTAACGAGGGAAACGGTTTGAATTACAAGGTAAAAATGGTGGTTTCACTAAGGGTCTAAAGGAGAAAGAAATTGATAAACTTCTTTGTAGGCAACAACAATTGAACTAGATATAATTGAACTAATTATTGAATTTGATGATTGGAAAATGGAAAACAACATGTCGAATTATAGTCACTCATTTCGATGAATTAAAGGCATTGTTGGTAGATTTTGAAGATGTTTTTAAGGAACCTCAAGGTTTATCTCCACAAAGGGCTCATGATCATGAGATCATTTTACAAGAAGGATCGAACCTATAAGCATGAAATCATATAGGTATCCTCTATCATAAAAAAATGAGATTGAGAAACAAAGTAGTGGGATTTTATAGTCTAGTACCAGTCCCATTTTATCTCTAGTAGTGTTGGTAAGAAAAAAGGATGATATTTGAAGAATGTGTGTGGATTATAAGAAACTTAATCAAATGACTATCTAATATCAGTTTTCCATTCCAATCATTGAGGAGTTATTGGATAAACTACGGGGATCTTCTCGTTTTTCAAAATTGTATTTAAGAGTTGGTTATCACTAAATTCGAATGCATCACAGTGACATTTCTAAAACTCGCTTTTAAAACTCATAATGGTCATTAAAAGTATTCGGTGATGTCATTTGATTTAACTAATGCTTCTATCATTTTTCAATCATTAATGAATGAATTTTTTCGACCTTTTCTTAGAAAATTTATTCTAGTTTTCTTTTATGACATACTCATTTTTAGTAATAAATTTAAAAACCATATTGCATCATTTAGAAATTGCATTATTTCTATTGAAAAAACATATTCTATATGCCAAGATATCTAAGTGCATCTTTGACACCCTAAGAGTGGAGTATCTAGGAGGATATTATATTTCACAAGAAGGAGCTCAAGCATCTTAAAAAGATAGAGGCTATCTAAAAAACGGCCTACACCAACTACATTGAAGCAATTATGAGGATTCTTAGGTCTTGCTGGCTATTATCGAAGTTTGTGTAGAATTATAGTAAGATAGTTCAACCTTTGATCGGCTTGTTAAAAAAATGATGGGTTTGTATGTAATCTAGTTGTGACTTGTTAAAAAAATGGTGGGTTTGTATGTAATCCAATTGCTGAAGTAGCATTTACAACACTCAAAACAACAAGTGAACACCATTCATGTTTTGGCTTTGTCAAACCTATTTGAAGAATTTGTTGTTGAAACTAATGCTATTGAAACGGGTATAGGGTTGTCTTAATACGGAAAAGACATCTCATAGCTTATATCGGTAAGCATTATTCCTAAAACAATAAGCAATGTCAATTTATGAAAGGGAATTGTTTGCAGTCAAGAAGGGACATCAATATCTTACCGATTGACACTTTATTATTTGCATTAATCACCGAGCTTGAAACACTTATTTACACAAAGAATTCATACTACGGAACAACTAATTTGGTTGGTTAAACTCATGGGATATAATTATGATATTGTTTACAAAAATGAAAAGGAAAATATTATGAAATTATCAATCTTAGCCATTCCTTTATTTCCACAGAACCGATGGAAAAGGTGCGGGAGTCTTGGAGTTCGGACATTGCTTTAAAGAAGGTTTTAAACTAACTTCAAAGCTCGATGAGAGTCACTCCAAATTTGTATAGCAAAATCATCAATTAAGAAGGAAATGGGGGTTAGTTGTTTGAAACGATACGGAATTACAAAGATATGCAATTTCTTATTATCATGACTCTACTAATGGAGGACATTCTAGTGTGGTAGTCACTACAAAGAAGGTTGCTACCTTTTTTTATTAGGAGTTGACAAGAACTATTTGAGAATATGTTAGGACTTGTGCCATATGTCAACAATGTAAATATGAAAATGTGGCTCTACCACATTTGTTGTAACCTTTGCATTTACCACAAGTTATTTTTATTGACATCGAGATGGATTTTATTGAAGGGTTGCCATCGTCTTAAAGGAAATACATCATTTTTATGGTTATTTTTAGATTAATCAAATATGCTCACTTCATGTCATTAGCTCATCCTTATTCTGTGGAGTTAGTAGCCAAGGTGTTTATGGAAGGGTTATACAAGTCGTACACTTTACCTAGCAATATCATTTCGGATATGGATCATGTTTTCCTTTGTAAATTTTGGAGAGAGTTGTTTACATATCGGGATGTTTCACTTAAATTCTCTACGACCTATCATCCTCAAAGTGATGGCCAAGCCGAGGTTATCAATCGCTATTTTTAAACTTACTTTCGTTGCATGACATCCTTCTATTTAACGATCTCCTTTTGAAGTCTTGTATGGTTATTCACCTCCATTGCATTTTCCATACTTGCCTAATGATTGTCAAGTAAAGGTCGTTAATGAATTTTTACAAGAAAATGAGGTTGTGATTGACTTGTTGAAATATCACTTGACCAAAGCAACCATAGGATGAAACAATTGGCAAATAAATCTAGGTCAAATAGAGTTTTCACCATTGGAGATTGAGTGTATTTGAAGTTATAGCATTATAGACAACAATCATTAGTTCTTCATTGAAATTAGAAGTTGGCTCCTCGTTATTTTGGCCTCTTCAAGGTCATTGACAAAGCTGAAGAAGTATCTTACACCTTGCAACTTTCAGCTCATTCATCCTACTTTCCATGTTTCTCAATTGAAACATGTTCATGGAACCGTGAGTGTGTAAAATCAATTGCATATCTCTATTGCTCTTTCAGCTTTTCTAGTGGTTATCCTAGATCGCCAAATGGTGAAATGAGGGAACCGAGACAGACCACGAAGCTTCTAATTCAATGATCTAATGGATTATGGGAGTTTGTTTTTGACATTTGCATACGCTTCCTAGAATTTGACCTTGGGAACAAGGTCATTTCAATAAGGGCATTGATACGGGGCTCAATAAATGTGGATTTGTGACTCGGTAAAAGGGTCCAACCAGGTGAAACATGTGAAATAATAAGGAGAGAATATTAATAACATGGGGTGTTAGTGTTGATAAATGATGTGATTATTTGTTAGTAGTCGGTTATTAAAAATATTGTTAGTCTAAGGGCTACTTTGTTAGAAATGTTGTTAGTTTCTAACGATTATGGCATTAATTAGAGAGGAGGTAAGAAAGAAAAGGCATTCTGGCATTGCTTAGAGAAAAGGAATTCTCACGTTGTTGAACAATCTTTCTCTCTTAAACTTAATTTCTTGTTCACTCTAGATTTCTTCTGTAATTCTTAGGATTCTTAATCAAGAATTCTTGCTACTATAGTTGATTTCTGCAATTGTTTTTCTCAAATGAATCATACTTCAATTTCTTTCGGTTCATTGTTCCAAGTTTTTTTTTTTTTCATTTTAACTGCATAAATTGTTTTCTACCTTGATCGACTGCATTTCATCCTAAATTCTTAAATTCTTCCTTGATTGGAATCGGAATGCATCATATTTACACCATAATAGGTACCCCCATCAAAGCAAAGGACTTTAGAGTTGATTAGTGGCGTTCAAAGATTGACAAGGAAAAGAACTTCAAAAAAAAGACGGTCAGAGCTTGAAACATACCTCTTGTCATATTAAAATTGAGAAAAAAAGATCGCGCAACCCCCAATTACATGTATGAAGACTATCATTTGGCAGTTCAACATAACCAGAAAAACTCAGAAATCAGAATGCATATATATTGAAAGAGAAGATACACAGGGATGCGTTCAGGTAATAGCAAATGAAGCATATTTCTGCGCAGTTTGCAGGGTCCTGCCCCGCTCCAATACCAATCACAGGATCGATCCTGTACAAAATCCTAATCACCAACAGGATTACTCATGAAATTTGTTTGCATCAAGAATAATGTGTAAACATCAAAGCAGGTTAGATTAGTTTAAAATTACCAAATTAAAGATGTCTTACGACCTACAAAGAATCAATTTCTGAAATAAATACATTTATATCCTGAACAGAAGCTGAATGTATCCTATAATCACCTTGCCATTCTAAGAAAGTTATTATACAAATCTACTACATAGACATGAGAAGAGTAGCAAATTCTACATGTTTGGTCACAGCAAAATGTGTTGAATGCAGACATCTTCCATGAAAGCTAAAAGGGTTTCAAGAGAAACAAAAAAACCAATGGGCCTTCAGTGAAGTGCCTTTTTCATCCTTTTCTTCCTAGGGCTGGTGCCGTTACTGCTTCCTGTACACTTTGGACAAAACCAATCCTCCTGTGGAATACTTTCAAGAGGAGGATTGCAGCAGTCTATATGCATCCCAACCCCACAGCCAACAGAACCACTTTCATCACCGCATATCAGCATAACTTCTCCTCTATCACGAGAACCGCAAACTTCACAGGCTATATCATCACCACTATCACAATCCTTCAATATTGCCAAGTCCTCCACAATCTCTTCAGCCTTGCTCAAAAGGTTGGAAAATGACGTCTCTGCCCAACCATTGGTATTGTACAGTACATGTCTCTCAAGAGAATACCCAGGCTTGCAGACATACTCTACCAAGTAATCAGCAACAATGCAAGGTATCTTATGTTTTAAGAACTCTTGGATCCACATATCTGCACGTGTTATGCCAGGGCTGACGATAGCATAGTCAACTCCAGATGTAAGAAAGCGGGTGTAAGGAGAAGAAGTTGCTAAGATGGTACCGTCCGCTGCCTTCACCACACGTTTCAAAGTATCCTGTTTGTTGAGCAGGAAGACGCAGACAGTATGTCATATCACGGACATAAGATAATTAATCTAACTAACAACTATAAACCGTCCTTCAGTATAGTTCAGGGAAAACCAAAACCCTAAGAAAGCTCATGCAACATATGTTGTGACTCACCCAAAGAAAAAGTGGCAGGTAAACATATCTAATGAAGAAAACATACCAAAGGTGGTGTAATGCATTCTCCATAAATGATAATACGCATTCCATAGAAGGCTCCATGACCTGTTCTCTCCCTTAACAGCCGCCATTTCCTTGGCGCCTCTAAATTAATTGCTCCATCTTCGCTAAGGCCATTCTTGTGCCATTCATAAGATTCCTCTGCCAAGAACCTTCCTGCCTGACTACAAGCCGTTAAATAATCGGTCCTAAGTATCCATCTGCATCAAATGGACATCTATCATTTTGGACAGATGGCTCATATAATTATAAGGAGTCTATGAAGAAACTCATTCCAACAACGTTTCATCTTAACAGGAAAAAAATACACACACACACAAAATAAAAATAATTTCTCAACAGAAAAAAGAGGAATTGCATAGTTTTGCATCAGTAAACTGAAAAATGGATCGCATTGCCACATCAAAAATAAGAATCTAGATAGAGGTTTTCTTAAATAGTAGTGTTCAAACTTTAGATGGTAATGCATAATGTACTCTACCTTCCAGATGCTGCAGCAGCAAAAAACTTTTCTGTCCTGCGAATTGGGTCTGGAGCTATGAAGTGTGTTGCCTGGTATGACCATTGATGAGAATCTCTACAGCATTTTCCACTCAAACGCCTGATAACTTGCTGATACTCTTTTCTTTGCAGCCTATGCCCACTCAATATAAACCATGGCGATTCAGTTTTCACTTGCTTCGTAACTTTTCTTCCTGGTGTAGAACCAGGATTACTTTCACTAACCTTTTGGTTAAACTTCATTGGTGTTTTATTGGCTTTAGCAGCCGTTTCCCCAACATGCTCATCATCTAAACTTCCATATTGATCTCCATCAACAGCTGGTTTATTCTCCTTCACAGCTTCCACAGAGTTCTTGGACTTTTTTCTAGATACAAATCTTTTACCTTGACATGCACGACGTGGCTCAGTGATTTTCTTTTCTGCAGCATTCTCCTCAATGTTCTTTACATCAAGATCCTCTTCCTCGTCTAGAACTTTCTTAGACTCTGCTTTTTAAAAACCAAAGTAGCAGTCTTGGTCTTTGTCTGACCTGAAGGCTGCTTCTTGCCTCTGCTTCCTTTTCCTTTTACAAAAACTTCTTTCAAGGTTGATTCATCCCTATTTGGTGTTTCAACTGCATTCTTCCCTTCTGCTGAACCATCAGACATGTTAGCTCTAGAATTATCTGCTTCCAATTTCATCCCTATCTTATTATCTGCTCTATGTGACAAATCAATCATATCAGCCTGCTCTTCATTGAGAAACTTTTTACCTTCATCTTTCTCCTCTGGAGCCTCAGTCTCATCATCCACGGAACCAATCTTATCCTCAGTATTATCCCCCAGCTCATCCCCCAATTTTGTGGCATGTTCTGTCTCCATTGCTTGTGCTGTGGCAACATTGACAGTTGCAGGGGATGTCTCAAGCTCAGTGGCACCAGTGGAACTCCCGTTCTCTGCTCTCTCTTTTCCCTCAGCCAAACCAACTGCAGGATCATTTTGAGCAGTAGTTACATTAAAGTATATGGAACCTTTCTGGTTCACATTACTTGTCAATTTTGGTCTAGAACCCAAAGTCTTATTGGCAATCATCTTCTTCCTAGCTGGCTTGGTAATGAAGTTATCATTTCCTGCCTGAGGCACATCCACATTAGAACGCATGTCAGATTTATCTGTCTCTAATTCCTTTTTATGTGAAAATGGACTGCCTCCATCTTGTTGCCAATTTTGTGGCTCCCCTGCTTCTGCAACCACCTGTTCAGATCTTTCGACAACAAAACCTCCACGATCAGGCTCACCGACCAAGTTGTCCTCTCTCAAGTCCCTGAAGGTTCGTTGTGGTGTCTTCTTATTTGCTTTCTCATTTTCTCCAGTTTCCGAGATCATATTTTCGAGGAAAGCATCATCTTCTGTGCACAAGTTCCTTGTAAATTTTGATGACTTGGCTATTGAAAAATTGGCATGTGAGTTCTGCAGAGCATTCATACTAATCATATCATGCACTGAGGGACCATTATTGCCAAGAGGAGAGTGGTTATTAATTCTAGATGGACAGTCCACCAAAGGCCCTGGTTCCAAACCTTGACTTTTGTAAGTAACTGGTTGACTCCCTGTGACATGTGCTTGTGAATCATGCTTCATCTTCTGTGATTTATAGCTAGAACCAGAAACATCTGTCTTTTGCTTCTTACTTCCTGGTGCTTCTTCATAAAGTAATTCACTTCCTTTTTGAGGAAATTCAGCACAAGAAGGGCTTGTTGGGTCCTTTGCATATGCTTTGGCAGAAAACATATTGATGGATTCGCCTAAGAGAACTTTAGGAGAGCCTCTATTATTGCCTGAGTTCCCAGAGAAAATTGATGATGGGGATCTTCGTGGAGTTTTTCTTGTGTAACTTGTAGCACTATACCTTGCATCAGAATGAGAAGGCCTTTCAACACTTCTAGAAATAAATTCCAAGTCATTACTCATCCTTGTAGAAACAGGAGTTCTCTCTTGTGGATCGAGTAACTGATTGGAAGGGGCGCCCTTGAAGCTACTAGCATCCAGATGGTGAGGAACCTCAGAAACACAAACATTTTCAAAGCTCGATGCATGATCATCTATGCTCCTTTTGCCAGGAGTTACTATGATATCTTTAGCATTGACAACGCTTGACAGACCTTCAGGCTCGCTCAGAATATGTGATGTTTTCATCACTTCCCCAGTTTTGGGCATTTCACAAGCCTCGGATGTTCTGACTTTTAAATTCTGAGGACTCTTATTCGCATTTTCATAACTTGGTTGCTTCACGCAGGTGCCCCCAGCTTCATCCTCAGAGTCTTTTGCCTCAGCTTCCAGCACCTCCAACTCATAGCCACTGTTCAAATAGAGCAATAGTTAAGCAGTACATACACTAGATCCAAGTGTTTGTACATGAAACGATAGTTAAGCAAACAAATGTATCTATTTTTTTCTACTAAAGCAATTCATTGAGATGCTTATATTGTGCAAACATATAATGAGGTACAGATCTCAACCAAAGAATTGCCAGCCATTCAATATTGGAAACAATATAGTCACAAGGTACAGGTAATTGTATGTGTTGGGAATGTATGTGATAAATAACTCCAAACTCAACATCTTGGGACACAGTGTGCACACAAAGCTCAAGTAACAGTGTCCATAAAACGAAACAAAGAATCATGCCATCAGTTTCTACTCATAATTCTGAAGTGAGGAAATATCTAAATGAAAGAAACAAAAATACCTCAAACAATCTCAATGCAGCATTCATGTCACTCCTTAATAGAATTCAAACTCCATAAGGTGGGCTAAAAAAAGACAGTTTCTTCTCTCTCGATATGCAGTTATGCACCAGTTGTTAAGGAGTAAAAAGTGATGTCAAATTTATCACATCGAATGCTACTAAACTAACAAGTTAAAATGCCTCACCTCTTGCTATAATTGTCTTCTGGAAGAAGCTCCCAATTTCTTAAGCTGCAGTAGAAGGATATTCATTCAATATGTAAGATGCTTATCTATTTCCAAGTGTAAAGAACTAAAAAAACCAACTCAGAGGTCTCCCATTGAAAAAAGAAACAAAAACAAAAAACTCACCAATCCTCCAACCACCGATGGTTAACAAGCTTTATCTTCTTCATTTTATCAGCAAGCACGTACTTCTCGCCTAGACAAAGTGAAAATCTCTAATTATAATCTAGTCTAGCCAGCACTCGCATTTTGCCATAATAAAGTATGAAAAGCAGCAAGTAACAGTAAGATTATGATGTTCATACGAATGCAACAGACTAGATCAAAATCAAACTATGAACAAAAGATGGAACAATAATCAACAACAACAACAACATGGATGGGTCATAAGAGGAAGATTTGAAAATTATTAAAGGAGCACAATGTCCAATGTTTTGAAGAGAGAAATCCTATAAAGCTAAGTTTAACCAAATTCTCATTAGCAAAAATAGTTCCCCCTTTTCAGTTCAATGATTTTGCCATCTAATGTCCCTTTGTAGAGCTACTATCTTTTGAAGATGATAGTGTGCATACTGAGTAGTCCATGGATGACTATATATTCAACTCAACTAAGCCTCGGTCCAAGACTATTGCACCTTTAAAAAATATGTCCAACAACCAGCAGCTAAAACATGCTATGTACTATGCAATGACTACAGCAAGCTTGGCATACTTAGTGTGCTTTTGGTATTAAAAAAAGAGCAAATTAAGACAAGGAAAAGAGGAACTGCCTATACACATGCAACAACAATCATAACTCCAAGTTCATTCCTAATGGTATTCCCTGTGTGAAGATCAAAAACCACACCTTCAAATTTGTAACAGATGAGATGAGTAACTTTATTAGCCACCAATGGCTTAGAAAACTGCGCCCCCATCAAGCTCACCATGGTCTGAGGATGAAAAACAGAAAACCCGTAAAGATTTCATTTCATTCCCAAATGCAATGGAAACTAACAAAATGAGCAACACATACCATAATGTCATCTCGATCTTGACGTTGGTATCCAGTCAAGCACACAACTAAACTTTTGGCACCCGGAATTCCATTCAAATCTCTAAGTGGTCGATACATAATCTAGTGCACAAAAAGCAAATCATAAATATCAAGCAATTTAATATGTGAAAGAACAAATAAAAAAAGTATTAGAAAATCGAGAACACAAATCTTGAGTTTTGGGCCTTGATTAAAAATAAAAATATAGAAATTAGGAAGGAAAAAAACTCACAGAAGTGGCATCAACAGGCATCCCAATATCAAAACTGTGATCAACCCATAATCCTGTCACAACTGTCTTTCCATCATTTCTTGCACCAACACATACAGGATCATCCTACAAAATATTTAAAAGTTAAAAAAAATAAAGATTGAAGTAATTAATTTAGCAGTTGAAAATAAAATAATAATAATAATTACGGACTCACATAAACAATCTTATCGACAATGACGTGAGTGCAATTCTCGCTATACTGAACAGCATCAACGCCGCCGCCACTAACAAGCTTTGTTTTAACCTGCACCACATTTCGAAAAATTAAAATAAAATTTACTCGCTTCTGTTTTTGCCTCTTAAACAATAACAATAATTTGAGAGAGAAGGAACCTTGGTTTTGTTGAGGGAATCAAAACCAAAGAGAACGAAACGGACGCCAAGAAACGTTTTGGAAGGGGAATCTCTCTCCAGCATTGAATCGAATTCAATTCAAATTTTTTTTAATAAATATGATAAAATTGGGGGAAATGAAGATTTTATTATATAAAACGATAGAAAAGAAGAGTATGCTGTAAGGCAAGGAAGTAAACTCTCAAGTCAAAAGAAAAAAGAAGACAATAGAGATAGAGATAGGCTTCTTTATTGTATGAACTGTAGGCAAAGCTTGTGGAAGAAGAAGAGTGGAAAAATATTACTATAAGTGGTGACTAGCGGAGGGAGGGAATTGTAGATTTCATTTTTTGTTTAATTTTTGTGCCTGGCGGGAGGAGGAAAATTTGTGGGTGACTCCACGTGAGAGGACACGTGTTCGACGCCCTGACCCTGATTGGACGCGTAGAAGCTGAGCCTGCCTTCTCTGAACGTCTAAGCCCAACTCTCTATCTCAACTCTCTACCTCAGCATTTTTGGGGGCTTCTTTTCTTTACATTAGGCTTTTGGCCTACTATAATTATTGTATTTTTTTTATATAATCTTTGACAGAGCATTTTGAATTATTTACAACCAATATTTTTAGTATTTATTAATTTTTTATTTCTTGTTTTTAAAATTCGAATAATTTTGTATAAATCTTGATAAATTGCATTTTGTTATAAAATAATGAATGTCTATCTACTTTTCATATCCCCACTACTCATGATTCTTAATGTGATTCAATTCACCATTCAATATAAGAAATTGAAAGGGCGATGTAATTGATGTACTTTTAATTATTCATAGTCCCTTCCAATTCTCATCTCAATTTTGAGGCCTATAAATAGGCTTGATTGTTCATTTGTTGATGTATAAGTTTCTTAGAGAGAATAAGAGAAACTTTAAAGTTCTTATCACTTATATTCATATTATAGTGATTTCGTTTTCTTGTCATCATTTTCTTCAATTCTCCTATTATTTTTATTTATTTTATAATATGTTATTAGCACGAAGCTCTAACCAATCGAGATAATAGACCATGAGGTATGTAGCTATCAAAAGATTTAATCAATTGTTTCAACAATTGGATTTCTTCTACACAAGTGCTCTACCAAAAAATCTAAATTATTTAGATCATTAAGAGGTACGTATCTAATTTATTCATGTACTTTAAATCTATTGATACTTGAAATATATATTTAAAAAACTTAAATGATCTACTAATGATCTAATATATGTTATTTGAAAAGCTTTAATTTTATTATTATATTTATTTTCTAATATTATTATTATCTATTGTATTATGAATTTTTTATCATATCAAACCTCATAAACTTGATTTGGTGACTCTTGATATTTTGAATAAGAATTATTGATTATGAGTGCTTGATTTAAAAAAAATATTCTCTACTTTTTATGTCTTGGATATGCTTCGTAGTAGCATATCGAGAAAAAGAGTTTAAGAAATATTTTGGATCGATTTTATATTTTTTAGTGGCCAAAGAAAATAAAAAAGAATAAATCTCATCAAATTGGATCTACTCCATTCCCCGAAGTGAATGTGACAATTTATAATAATTTTAGACATGGATGAAGATGTGGTCATAGACTATGGTGGAAATAATTATCATTATAATTGTAATAACCATAATATTACATCTCACCACCGAAGTGGATAACTATGAAAAAAAAGAAATAAAAATAGATAAAGTCGGTATTCGAAAAATAAATATTATAGATGTGGAATGAATGAATATTGATCTTGTACTCGCCGTACACCAAAGCACCTCATTGAGCCTTGTCAAGCCTTATTGAAAAATAAAGAGTAAAATATGAAGGCCACTTTTATATATCAAAGTAATAGTAATTGAAATTAATTATTTGTTAGTTTTTCTATTTATAAATAAAATATTTTATATTTATTATAATTTATGTCGTATATTGATGGTTACAAATTTATTTTACTATTTATTTATTTTGTTTATGTTTATGAGTCATATATTGATTTATTTATTTTGTATTGATTTATTTGATTATTTATTTTATGTTAATATTATATATGATAATATCAATATAATAGAAAGCTCTAGAAGAGCGACTATATTATTATCTAAAGAGATAGATTTTGAAGGCTCTAGAAGAGCGATTATATCATGATTTGAAGAGATAAATTTTTGAAGCTCTAGAAGAGTGAATAAATTATTACTTGAAGAGAAATTTTTAAAGGCTCTAGAAGACTCGATATATTATTACTTGAAGTGACTAATTTAAAGACTCCGGAAGAGCAAATATTTTATTATCCGAAAGGATAAATTTATTATGAATAATGTACTATTCTCTTCAAAGTCTCATGGATATTTGTTGAGTTTCAAAGATATTTATCTAAATTGATATCATATCAAGATAGCAAATGCGAATTCTTATATGTTATAATCATTATATCGAGTAAAAAATATCTATCAAAAAACTTTATCCGTTTTCTCTTGTAGTCTTTGTTACAAACATTGAAATGATTGAAACCAATATTATAGTAAACCGAAGTTTACTAATTCAAATATTTTTACTATGTGACATGACCGATTGTGTTATCTTAGGTCTTTCATGATGCGAAAAAATTATTAAAAAAATTATATGAATATCTATTGAAGAGCCATAAGATTTTTCAATTTAATGAACTTTCATGTTCTGCATATTGCCAAGGTAAATTGATGATTAAGCCATCATCAAGTAAAATTGAGATTGAATCTCCAGTATTTTAGAATGTATTCAAGGTGATATATGTGGATTAATTCATCCACCATGTGGACCATTTAAATAATTTACAATTTTGATAAATGCATACACAAGATGGTCACATGTATGCTTATTATCTACTCGAAACTCGACGTTTTCGAGATTGCTAGCAAATAATTTGATTTCGAGCGTAATTTTCAAATTATGTAAAATAAGTCACCTTGATAATGCCGATGAATTTATTTCTCAAGCGTTAAATTATTATTGATTGGCTATTAAAATAAAGGTTGAACATCTTGTTGCTCATGTTTATACTAAAAAAGGTTTAGCAAAATCATTTATCAAAAGACTCGAATTAATAGCTAAACTCGTTATTTAAAAATAAAACTTTCTGTTTATGTTTGAGGACATGCAATCTTACATGCAAGTAACACTTATTCGCACATGACCCATAAGTTATCGAAATTGATTTATGGTCGTGAGCCAATTATTTCTTATTTAAGAATTTTTGGCATTGCAATGTATATCCTTAGTGCTCCTCTATAATGAAATAAAATGAGCACTTAAAAGAGATTGGAAATATATGAATCCTCTTCGATAATTTAATCTCTTGATTCATGAATAAGAGAAAATTTTTACGACTCAATTTATCGACTCGTCATTTTGATGAAATAGTTTTTTCAATATTAGGGGGAGAGAATAAGCAAAATAAGCGAGTTGAAAATGTTAAAAAAAAAAAAAAGGATTACATGGAGTACTCTATCTTTATATCATATTGAATCTCGTACAAAATAATGTGAACCGAAGTTCAAAAGATAATTCATTTATAAGGTATTAGAAACCGACTGCTAGATGCATTCTTAGATCCTAAATGAGTAACTATAATGCATGTCCCCGCTGAGAATGCTCATATTAGAATTGATGTCTCGGAAGGACGATCTATTAATGTTATAGCTAATAAATCTAAAGCACGCCCGAAGCGTGGTAGACCGATCGGTTTTAAAGACAAAATTCCTAAAAGAAAGGGGCAAGATAAAAATATAAAGAATGTAAATATTCATAAAACGGTCCAAGATATTTCGATAATAGGCTTTTCGAAGAAGTCCAAATACTTGAGAAAAATCAAGAGATTTTGATAAATTATATCAATGCAGGGAGAAAATAAGACCGAAAAGAAACATCTATTGATAAGATTTTTGCATATAATATTGCAATTGATATTATGGATGAAAATAAGAATCCCGAGCCTAAATTATTGAAGAATGTCGACATAAAGATGATTGGCCTAAATAAAAAGAAAGATCTAGGCGAAATTATGTTCTCTTATAAAAGAGTAGTTTTTTGAACCCATAGCTAAAACACCTGAAGATGTTAAGTCTGGTGGGATACAAATATGTATTTATGCAAAAATAAAATAAGAAATATGAGGTTATAAGATATAAAGCAAAACTTTTAACACAAAAGTTTTCGTAAAAAATTGAAATTGACTATGAGGAGACATATTCTCCTATAATGGATGCAATTGTCTTTTGTTATCTTATTAGCTTGGAAAAATATATGAAAAACATTCATATGCATTTATTTAATGAATGTGATCACGGTTTATTTGTTCATTTGAAATGATATCGGTATGAAAGTCCTAGAAGGACTTAACATGCCGAAGCATGTAATACATATTCTTGAGAAATGAATTCAATTAAATTATAGAGATCTCTATTAGGATTATTTTAGTATTTGTTTTATTATTTTGGTTTTTAGAAATTCAATTTATACTCTTTATATTTTATTTTTATATCTACTGTTTATTACTAATCCGTGTGCATGTGATATAATCACTTCAATGATTATTTATTAAAAGAAAGTTATAAAAAATAATCCTATTTGTTCATATGTTTTTATTTGAAAAAAGGTTTGTTTTATATGTTGATAACTTAAATATTATTGGAACTCCCGAAGAGATTCAAAGTGTCATAAGTTACCTAAAAAGAGAATTTGATGTGAATATCTTGGAAAAACAAAATGTTATCTCGACTTGCGGTTCGAGCACTCGGAGAATGAGATTTTCATTCATCGATCAATTTATATAGAAAAAAGTTCTACAACGATTCTATATAAAGATCATTCATTGACTAGCCCAATGATAGTTCATTCACTTGATATCTAAAAAGATCCTTTTTGACCTCGAGAAGATAACGAATAACTACTTGGTTCCGAAGTACCATGTCTTAGTGCCATCGATGCATTGATATATCTTGCTAATAATACTCGACTTAATATAGTCTTTTATATAAATTTGTTAGCAAGTCATAGTTTTGTTTCAATATAGAGAC